TAACTAGAATTATTAGTACCGAATTAAACTTTTTTGCAATTAGCTTTTAATAACACCCTGTTCCTCAAGTAATTGATCATTTATTAATTTCATTCTGGGTGCATAAAACAAATTAGAGAACGAAAATAGTCGTTCAACCAGTCATGATGTGGGTAGCAGAGAGTTATATTTTATAAAAACAATTTTCATCATAGGGTAGTCATCCAGGATTCGTAATTATTTTTTTTATTTTATAAATAAAATACAAATACATTTCAATTTATTTTAAATATTGAAATTCATACAATATATTGTCGCAAACAATATATTTTGTATTTTACTTCTTAAAATACAAAATACAAAAAATGTATTTTATTTTAAAATACTTTATTTCAAATACTGCCAAAGTCTGGTATCTATATACTTCTCCTAATGCTCAACTAGCCTTTTAATCTCTTAAATAGAGTAACTATTTATTTAATTTTAGGATGTCCAACATGTGATCAGGTAGGCATTAGTCCTTGTTATTAATTCACATAAAACCTAATATAATGTGAAAGCAAATCAATTTTAAGCTTGTATTTAATTTAATGATATTGATAATTTTATATAAATTTTAGTAAGAAGGTGGGATTATTAAGATTAAAGTTTTTTGTGGCAAACTTATAATTTTTAATAAAATTTGTCAAAGCATGAATCTTCACCTAAACCAAGAATTAATATTGTCCTACTGGGAGGACGATTTTAGTACCATGTTATGGCATTAGATGTTGCTAGGATACAAAAACAGAAGATATTACTCTGGTGCACACACGGGAAACAAATTATTTTAAAATAATTTGCTTAAAATAACAAGAATTTTGTGTTTTAATATATAATTTTGATCACAAATATTTAAATTATATACAGAAAAATTATTTTTTGTTTGAAATTTAAATACTTATTAAATTAAATAATTAAGTGAAGTAATTTAAAAGTAAGTAGTAATTGAAATACTAAGTGATTAAAATTGAATTTTAGAAAAGAAAAAATACTTTGTATTTTAAAATACTTTTCATCCAGGTCTGCTCTTGAGAAACATGCAAGTGAGGGTTAAAACGATCCAAAGAAATATTTATGAGTCGATGGTTGACTGTAGTGAATAATTGAATAAATATAGGTTGGGGTGTTCAGTCAAAAAATGTAAAAATTAATAAATCATAATTATTTTTATTTTTGCCGATGTTTCGGCCTAAAAATCTGGCCTTCATCAGGACTAAAAATAAAACAGATAACAATGGGTATGAGAAACTATTAACATTAAAAAGAAAATAATAATATGTAGATGAAAGGTATAGTCTTAAAATGTAGGCAGAATAAACTTAAATTAAAATAAAGTAGGTAGAATAAACTTAAAGGGAATATAAAATAACTATAACAAAGTTAGGGATAGAAAGTAGAGGAAGAAAAGTTAGAATATATAACATGACGGTAACAAAGTTAGAAATTATGAATACAATTATAACAGTAAAAGAGAACTATGAAATAAATAATAACGGTAATAAAACAGAGACTAATGAAATAAGGTAACATAAGAAATGAAAAATGAATAAACAACGAAATTTAATGGAATATATGAGATGAAAAACATAAGTGTAGACATAAAATAAATGGGGTGAAGTAGTTGCTAAAATATGATTATATGAAACATAATACGATTATGTGAAATAGTGATTATGATTATGAGATCATATCACTAAAATATGATCATATTTTAGCAACTACGTCACCCCATTTATTTTATGTCAACACATACGTTTTTCATCTCATATATTCCATTAAATTTTCTTCTTTATTCATTTTTCATTTATTATGTTTATTTCATTAGTTCCTACTTTGTTACTGTTATTATTTTATTCATAATTTCCTAACTTTGGTCCTGCTACTTTCTATCCTTAACTTTGTTATCGTTATTTTATATCTCCTTTAAGTTTATTCTACCTACTTTATTTTGCTTTAAGTTTATTATACCTACATTTTTTTAGCCTGTATCTTTCACCTTCATATTATTTTTTTTCTTTTTAATGTTAATAGTTTCTCATACCCATTGTTATGTTTTTTTCTTAGCCCTGAGGAAGGCCTGAACTTTTGTGAAAATAAAAATAAATATAATTTATATATTTACAATACATTTTTTGACTGAACTCTCCAATCAATCTTCTCTTCAATTAAAGACATATTTCATAACCAAAAAAAACCTTTTTAAATCAGTTCGGTAATTTTCACGGTTAATGGTTACAAACAAAAAACTCTGGTGCGATGTGCGCATCACACAACTTTCACTTATCAACCTTAAAGTAAATAGGTATTTTCATATATAGGGAAGTAAAAGTGAAAACAATCATATAACTTCATTTAAAACAATTAATTACAATGTTTTCCAGCCCATCGAATCTGTTCAAGTTATATGTTTCCATTTCCTTTTACCATTGTGTATAGTATCAAACAATATTAATGATTATGGAGAAAAATAGATCTTTTGTAAAACTCTGAGTTTTATTACAAAGATTTATCATGAAACCTTATGAAAAAATAACTTAGTAAATATTGTATATTATTAGGGGTTTTTTTTTTTTCACAAACAGGCCTTAAAGACAACACAATTATCAAGAATTTAATGCTTCCTCTTCATCTCGCATATACCCCTCATGAGCTCCGTGTGCTTACGTTTTCTCTCTTCAGACCACGCAACACCCTTTTTGGAGCGCTTCTTTTCTGCAAGAACCGTTATTCCCTTGAGTGCCTTCCTGTACTCATCTCTGCCCAAACAAACTTGGTCTCTTAGCCCCACTTGATCCATATCATCCTTAACCTGTTTTAAATACCTGCTTACATTTTAATGACTGTGGATTCTCTGAAAAATTTTATGGTCGTCTTTCAGGATTCATCTTCATTCTCAACTTTATCCTCAATTTATATTAGTAGATCCTCAATATTTTGCATGAAAACCTTTTAAAAAAATTATGGATAAGTTATATGTAAAAGTTAAACTAACAATACGAAAGCCCTTTACAGAGTATCTGTAAATAGAGAGGATCGGCGAAGGTCAGGGGCTCTCAGCTGTTTCCAAATAGCTTCCAACTCTTATTTCTCCTTTAGTTACCAATCAATTTTCTTCATTCATTATATTTAACCATTTTTTATATCAGTTACCAAAGTGAAATGGTCAATTATTTCAAATTAAAAAAATTAAAGGTATCTTAAAAGAAGAAATTTTGAAAATTAGACATTTAAACTATGTTAGAGAACATCAATCAGAATAAGATGTTTTTTTTTTTTTTTTTACTGATGGATCAGCCGAATCAGCCATTAAAAATGCTGGGGCAGCAGTTTACTCGAGAGAGTTTCAGTTCAGTGCTGCGGTGGGTGAGGATGGTACAAATTTTGACGGTGAGATATCAGCGATCCTCATAGCTCTAAGAACACTATCAGGAAGGCAAGTTCAGAGCGCTGTTCTCTTTGTTGACTCGCAAGCAGCAATCCTTGCTATTACTAACGTGAATAAATGTCTGTCGAGTGCTATCTTGGTGTGCAAATTCCTTCTCTACGATCTAACACTCCAAGGCACCAATGTGGTCCTACAGTGGATTTCAAGCCATTGTGGTATTCCAGGAAATGAGGAAGCGGAAAGTCTCACCAGGAGAGGAGCAGAATTGCCACAAACAGTCCATCCAAAATCCTATGATCCAATTCGGCAAATGGTGAAGATGCTAGTGAAGGAGGAAACAAAAAATATGCACAAAGACAAAGTGGAAGGGAGACGTTCTGGATGATTAGTGGCAAACCCGATCCCAGCTGATTTACCAAGAAGAGAGGCAGTAGCCTGCTTCTGCCTGGGCACTGGTCACGACTATCTACAAAGTCGTCTCGACAAGATAGGCGTGGCTGATGATCCTAGGTGTAAATTATGTGAACAAGCGGAAATGGATGCAGACCACCTAAACAAATGTCCTGCTATGTCGGATATTAGGAATAAAACATATGTAAATGATTATACAAAAAAATCAAACTTATACTGGGCAGCAAGATGTCGGATGGTCGAATGACCAATGACTATGGGATAGGAAAAAAAAAAAAAAAAAAAGAATAAGATGTACATTATATTGAAAACTGCTTAATTTTAAACTGATGTAATGAATTTAATCAAAATCGCAAGTGGCAAAAGATCATAGATGGACTACTTCTTTAAGGAAGAGGAGTATTGTATCAATGAAATGGCTGATAAATTTGCTAAGGAGGGCTCGACATTGAACCAGCCAGAAAATTGGATATCATTCATAGAGCCAGAAAAAAAAAATAAGGCAAATGAGGCTCTACTGCTGAAATCATTAAAGTGCAGTATTGTGGAGAAGCAATGGAGAAATTGCTTAATGAAACAGATCTAGTACTCATAAATCTACCCAGAAAGGAAGCTGTTGCTGAGCTTTGAATAATAATTGACCATGACTGCCTTCAGAAACATCTGCATAGACTAAGAGTTGCAGTCTCTTTACACTGTAATCTATATGGGAGCCCATATGGATGAAGTGCATTTAATTATATGCTCACACTTTTTGGGCAACAAATATATGACGCGGTCCAAATCGGAATGGTACTGAGCTGCAAAGTCTCTAGTGGCAGAAGCCTGTAAAGAGAGGCATAATTTAAAAAAAAATTATACATTCAAAATTCGGTATTTGAAAACTGAAGTCGACTGACTAGTCGACTGACATCAGGTTATTATGGTATTTCGAGCACTGAAGGTATTCAAGTACTCTAGAGTACTTAAATACCTTCAGTGTTCGAAAGGCTCCCTGATGATGACGCTTCGGTTGAAACTTTGGCACCAATACAAACTTTATAATGACTGCGTCCTAAATACTTATCAAGCATATTAGACTTTTAGTAATATAATTTTCATATTATCGTACACATAATTAAAGGAATTCTCGAGGAAAGGATTATTATGGAGACAAAAAAAAATGATTAAAAACACATTATTTTTCCAAACATTATAATTATAATTAAGAAATATAATTATACAGAATGGCTCAGTCGTCGAAAGTGAACAAAAAAAAAAAAAAAAATTAAATAGAAACAACCATTAAATACAATACATACTATTAAGATAAATAAATTCTATTTATACCACCCAGGACATATGTACATAACAAAAATACAATATTTATCTAATAAATACTTTATACAAATCGACCCGTTAAGGATGCCACAAATATTCACAAAATTTATACATTGAATGCAAAATATTTCTATTAAAGAAAAGTAATAAATATTACATTAAATAATGGGTTGAAGTAGATGGATATTTTTTTTGTTTTTGAACTTTAAAAAGAAACTCAGTCACCCATTTAGAAGGAGTACAAATGAAATAAATAGTTTCTAATTAACAACAAATATACAACAGGATGAGAGGACTAAGTTTTTCTTATATAAATATATATATTAACATGACAGAACTAATAACCAGTCAAACATCCTGGGATTTGCACTTAAAGAGATTAAATTATAATCTCATTTATTACTTTTTTTTTAAACTTTTTATATTTTTATAAAATAATATTAAATCGCAGTCTAAGTTTCTCTCAGGCATTGTTGTGAGCCAGTCGTTTCAGAAACTTGTTCTTAAGTCAAGAGACTATAAACTATATTACAATATAATCAATACATATATTTATTAAAATAACATCAACTCAAAATACTTGGTATCTTAAATTGAACACTGGTACAAGATTTCATGAGTCTGCGATTACGCTAATACTGATATTTTGTCTCAGATTTAGATATATCTATACAGAACAATGAAAAAAGCAAGGAGATAAAGTAGGCTTTTTTCAATATTCCATTTTGAGATCGCCAGCGACGGTGGTAGCTAGCCATGGCTAATTGGACAACACCCAACATTGATACACAATCAACATCAATATACAAAAGTTAATTTTTTCGACACAGAGCTGCACTTACATATTGTTATATACATATATATTAAATATGTAAATACTTTAAAGTTTTTTTTAACATATTAAATTCAAAAATGTAAATAACTGGCAAAGAGGCTGCATTACATGAAGTCATACTCTCTAGAGATCCATATTTCTGAGTCAATATATATATATTATTTTTTATTTTTTTTATTTTTTGGTATGAGACTTATCAAAAAGACGTTGTTAATAAACACTCGAGTATTAAATTATTTACACAAGCAGATGCAAAATTTTAAGAGGTTTAAGGATAAATTTTTAAGAATATTATCTTTAAGTCCTTTAAAGTATCTTTACACTTAGAAATGCATTTGTATTACATTTTAATTTGAACACAGATTCTTATTACTATAATAATTTATTTATATGTGCCAAAAAAAAATTGGCAGATGGACATATTGACAAGAAGTAGAGAAGGCTTGTGTATAAATGGGGGCAATTAGAATTTAATTTTAAAGAAAAGCTTAATTTTGTAACAATATACATTATTAGGAAACAATTTAATAAAGAAAATTTTTTTCAACTTCAAAAACACATGCCATTTCGTTTCCACTTCTTGTCTTCTTTATAAATCTGTTATGCCTGATCTGCATTTCCATCAACAGATGCTATATTCAAGCAGAAAAATGCTTTCTAGCAGTTTATTTACAACGCCTTTCAGGCATTCTAAGCAAAAAATTATGCGACTCCAGCCAAAATAAAAAAAAAATAATAAAAAAAAAAAGAAAAAAAAAGAAATGAATGGTACAGGTACATAACGTAAAGCAACACATACAGTTTACATCACACACATTTCATCGCAAACGCACAATAATGGAGGACAAACATAAAAAGGAAAGCCATGCCTTTTTCTTTTGTTTTCAAATTGAGCGAAGAGGCTGGCTTGATGGGCCTTAACTTAAACTAGCTAACTTTATCAAATAAATTTACAGTCTTATCACAGAAAAGGCTTTATCGCTGATTAACCAACAACAGACTAAGTGCACTCGATTATATGAGGTTGTGATGATTCAATGACGGTTGGTCGGGTAGGCTGTTCCTGTTGAGGTCGCTCAATGTCAAAACTTTCTCTGGAATCAGCCTCATGGTTTTCTTTCTCACCTAAATTAAAAAATAAAATAAAATTATGAACATATGTATTTAATTATATACACTTTTCATTTCAACATTAAACAAGATAGATTTTTTTGATAAATAACTAAATCACTAGTGGATAAAACAGTTAAATTTAATCTTCTGATGGGTGCAAGTATCCGTCAGATTACATAACTAAGATGTTTGTCTATTTTGTAGTAGACATCCCCCTGTATTTACTCCTTTAGATGACAATGTGTGAGCGAATGAGAAGATATACATAATATAGTGGAATATGAGGTAGCACTGTGAATTGTACTCAATTGTGCAGTGGACAAATTGCTCATTGGAAAATCTCACATTGATAAACAATCGAAAAGAAGAAAAGGTCCGATCAGGTAGCTGGCAACAGATGGGAAGGACGACGCCAAACACTCGAGGCCTGGACACCAACACAAGACGTCATCTGGGAAGAGAGGCTTACTCCATTGAAGACTGAGAATATCTAGCCTACAGTTATAAGACTTTTATACATTCATTTATTGCAGTTGTAAATAAATTGTTTTATTATACCGGAGTGAATAGTCCTTTTATTTAGTTGTCCTATAGGCCTCACGATTGAAGAATAAACCAGGTGAGTCAATTCATTCAAAGTGTTTACTAAGTCCCACATTTCATATGTATATTGTTATTGTTTCTTCTCACACAGTGTCACAAAAGGTAATAGATCCCCGAAGTCCCAATCACAGTTAAACACCCTCAAAAAGTCGATATCCAGTGCCGGGATTTTGTTTTAATAATTCACGAGTGTAAATAACCTTAAAGCCCCAATATAAAAGCAGAAGGCTATTCACTTTTCCCGCCAAAACATCTTTCTTTTACATTTAACTTCCTGTAGGTTATTTACAATTTCTATTTTTTATACTTCTTTTTTTCTAATACATAAAAAAAGTTTTTAGTGACTATCATATTTTATTTTACATATATAAAGCGGGATGGATTGTAACTAATACACCAGTGTGAAAATCTCTATTTAGTACTAGGCGAGTAGGAGTTTACGGGAGCTCAACTTTTCAGCCCAGTCTTATAGGCTCCATAGTGCTGTTCTACTATGGTGATTATTCGTTTTATTTATCATTTCCCGTACAAATTTTGGGTCTAAAACCTTTATTTTGTATTAAGAGAGCTGGAGGTTACAGGAGCTCAACACATATGTAATTAAAGTTTAGGATTAATACTGAAATGAAATGGACTTGTGAAATACTTTACTATTTAATAAGAGCTATAGAAAAAAAATCTATTTTGCATTCAAAAAAAGGCAAAAATTGTTTCAAACGTGCCATAAAGATTGCTTTTTAGTCAAAAAATATACGTGCTAAAAACGAGATTCGCCTGCTTAGGATGTGAATTATGTTAACAGTTTATTTGTTCATCATTCAAGAAATTTTTAATATACCTCAACTATTCAAAATAGTCACTCTCTGTTAGCATGGTCCATAATGATTTAATTAAATAGAAATCTTAATTATATACAAATGAAAAATATAGAATGTATTTATAAAAATTTATATTTACTGACCTGCACCAACTTCCATTCCCTGGTACTCGTAGTAATATGGGGATGGATAAGTCACAGCAGCTGCTGCTGCGAGCGCTATCTCCTCTTCCATGTTGTTTGGCCTGCAGCTTGTCGTCTTCCAATGAGTCCTATATTACAACATCATTCATTAAATATATTTATAAATATCATTGATTAAATATATTTTTATATTATTGAATATTAAATAGTTGACCGTTGCATTATAAAGGAAGGAGATGGTCCGCAGTGGCGTTCATAAATAGGCTAAATAGTGACAAAACTATTTTATTAAAAGCCAACGTTTCGACCCGACTTTGCAGGTCTTCTTCAGGAAGGTGTGTGTTCAGCTAGGAGTTTCACTTAGATCAGTTCTAAGTGAAGCTCCTAGCTGAACACACCTCCCTGAAGAATGACCGCCACCCCGGACCATCTCCTTCCTTTATTTTTATAAAATATTACATTTTTATTTAACCAAAGAAATAGTTTAACAGAATATGTAACAAACCTTAATCCAGAAGCAGAAATGTACTTCTTTGAACATCCTTGGCAGGTGTATGGCCTCTCGTTGGTGTGAAGCCTTTTGTGCAGCTTAAGATGGACGAACTGAGTGAATTTTGCAGTACATAGGTCACACGCATAAGGTTTTTGACCCGAATGTAATCGAAGGTGGGTTTTAAGATTTGAAGTTGAACTAAACCTTTTCTTGCATATTTCACACTGGTGTGGTTTTTCACCTGTTAGTGCAAAAAAAAAAAAAATTCATGAGATATTTTTATCAAAAAAAAATTACACTAATTATGATAATAATTTTACTAAGTCTTTTTTGTTTTATTTCTTTTTTTCATATGTTTCTCATAAGGATTTTCTTAATACATTTTTCAATTTTAAAATTTATGATTATAAATCTCATCAAATTTCCTTTAATCTTCGTCGTAAACCTATTACTTCCTGTCCTACAGTATCCTTTAACAATACCCCACTTATCCCTGTTGAACAAATCCGATATCTAGGACATAGGACTCACTTGGAAGCCTCATACCAGATTGAAATGACTAGAAACAGCCAGACATTTTCGACTACTGCAGCACTTACTAGACAAACGCTCTAAACTTCCAACTATTTACAAAAGACTCTAATATACATATTACTCTAATAAGGTCTATTTGGACTTCCGGGATCGAGCTTTGGGGCTCTACTAAACCATGAAATTCCTCTCGTATCCAATCCTTACAATTCAAAATCCTTCATAAAACCTTCAATTCTCCCTACTTTGTCACAAATAAAATCATCCATAATGATCTTAATGTACCATATGTTTCCAATTTAGCTCAATCCAGATACCTATCCTTCTATAATAAACTTCTGAACCATCCAAAACCTCTTGTTTTCAACCTTGCTTCCTCTTCTATTCCTGATAATCCCCTGAGGCCTCTGGAAAGAAGATGGCCTCGGGACGTTCTAATATAGAAATGTAATTTGAGTGCTACCAATGGGTAGTTTCTCTTCATGTAGTATATGCCATGTTACTTGTTTAATATTTACTTGTTGTATTTATCATTTAATACAGTTGTAAATATCAATAATAATAAAAAAAAAATTACGATTAATTTATAATTTTCTGTAATTTCATATATATTCAACCAGTTGGCCCATATAAATAATTATCAAAGAATATTAATCAGTAAACAAATGACAAAATAATAAGGAAACAAATAATTTAACATTTAAGATGAAGGAATCATTTCCAATTTTTTCGGTAATGGTAATTGACCAAGGAAAAAAATCATTATAAAACTTTCTCCATGTTTTAAACCAAAATGTTTATGAATTACAATATCCTGTATCTCATCCAATAATGATGCGAATTAGATAATTTTAATTTTTTTTTTTGTATTGTATGGAATTTAGTAATCTTTCAATCAAGTAATCTTCAATAGTAATCTTCAATGAATATGGGTAAAATACAGAAAAAAATGTATGCTTTTTAAATTATTCCCAAATAAAGTTTCTTTTCCTTTATAACTTTCTTTCCTGAAATTTTGAGGGGATATGTTTGCTATACCTGAAGGAGAAGATTTTCAAAATGAAGGGCCAATCATTGGATTTGATGAAGAATTTATGAAGATATGATGTACAGACAAAAAAAATCTTTGAAAAATAATATATAAAAATTATAACAGTGAAATATTCTAAAACTTCTAAAATGAAACCTATATGAACTACATGTTTTCCATTTACCATCACACCATTTACTGTTATGAATGAAAATATATTTATAAGTATATTTATAAATATATAATATAAGTCAAATTATAGAAGAGTATGAGTATAATGAATTAATACTATGATTTGAAATTGAAAAATATAGTAAGATAATCCTTAAGAGAAGAAAAAAAAAATGTCTTCAACTTTGAAGAAAATCAATATAGAAACGGTTGATAAGTGGGCACCTTCCAAACAAGCATTCCTAATGAAATTCTGAAACTTATGCCAAAACGATTGCACATAAGAAAATGAAACAAATGTATTTAATTTTTTTTTTATTTTGACCGTAACCCTTTACCAACTCTCCAACCAGATTATCTTTAGTTAACTATCTCTCCTCCATTATATATATATAATATATATATATATATATATATATATATATATATATATATATATATATAATATAATAAAATAATGAATAAATAAGAAAGACTTAGTTCGCGTATTAATTATGAATCAATACTGATATTAAAATTGTTAATTGAAGTTTCAAGGAAGAATTTATTTTATACAAGTTAAAAAGAAAAAAACTTCAAATTTTCGTCAAAATATTTTTGGATTAAATCTTAAGAGCAGGATAATTAAATTTAAATTCTTACAAAAAATAATAATTGAAGTAACTGTTTTAATTACAAAATTAAATTTAATCACACAACATTAAATTGTTTTAAAATTTAAAATATACTAGGGGGTACCCCTGTCCTAACACCCATTTTACAAATTACACATTTGTTAACTTTAATTTACATGTCATCTGTAATTCAGATAGTATTTAATTCAGATAGGATTTTTAGCAACATAAAATATTTTTTAGCCACAGTTCAGACAAATTTTTAATTTCTTTAAAAATCTAAATTATACATCGCACCTTATTGCCACTTTATATTATTATATAATTATAATTATTCTTCCAACAATAATTTGAGCTCTTTTATTTCTAATATTTTCATTGAATGTTATATTGTGCTTCCTTTTCTATTGTATAATAATTATAATTATATCACAATATAATATAAATAATATTATATATAGTTATAATAACTAATATATTGTATTCAAAGGGAAAATGTCGAGATCAATAAATAACTGCTGTCACCTAGGTAAAATCAGACTACCACCTCCAGATGATCTTCATTTTCCATACAAATTTTTAGCCTAAAATCCTTATTTTGTACTAGGAGAGTAGTAGGTAACAGGAGCTCAATACATATGTAATTAAACGAACAGCTGTATAATTTGTAAAATAATCACCATAGGAGAGCAGCAGTATGAGCTCCTGTTATCTCTAACTCTACTAATAATAAAATATGAAAATCACTAAAAACTATTTTATATAATAGAAAGGTTATTACCAGTATGAACAAGGTGATGTTTCTGCAAATGAGCCAACTGGGTGAAACTCTTTGTACAAACATTACATTTGAAAGGGCGCTCGCCGCTGTGAGTACGTAAGTGCACTTTCAAATTCGAGAGTTGACCAAAAGTTTTGTAGCAGACGTTACATTCATAGTGCATTTTTCCATCCTTTTTCTTCAGAGGATAAGGGAGCGACCTGAGGTAATAATATTTATTATAAATATGAAACTGAAAATTATGATAACGATATTGTGAATTAAATAATTCAAATACCACAACTATCACTATTTTTCAACCAGATTTGTCATCAAATTATTACTACTTTTATTTAGTCATCATTTTAGACTCATTAATATATTTTAGTATTTAATACTTGAAAATTCTATTCTCATTTGAATTTGGTTAGAGTTTCATTGCCTTTTATATTATAATTCCGTATATTTATAGAAATAATTAATAGATTAAAAAGTAAACTTGATATGCAAAACTCACTTTATACATGTCAATTGTATTTCAGGAAAAATTAAAAAAAAAAAAAATTCAGACTCATTAAATTGAGTTTTTTGAGATTAAAAACAATTTGATTTGTTGGATAAGGTGTCCAAATTGGGGCGACTCTTGAAAGAGGCCAAACACCAAGATTGGCAGACACTAAGGGACAATAGCCTTCCAAATAAATTAAAGCTGATAAAAAATGAAGTGAAGCCATGGAGTAGTTCCAGTCGCAGTAAACGCAGAGAGGAAGTTGTCCTTACGCGACTAAGAATAGATCAAGGCTTACTCACCTTCACTTAATTACAAAAGAAAACCTACCCATTTGTTAGAAGTGTGGAGAGAGAATGACAGTGGTCCATATCTTCGAGAGTTGTGCACATTACATCAGAGAATTAAAGAAAAGAATAATACCAGAAAATACATCTTTTCTCCCCAATTCTATTTTTTATTTCCCATTTAACCTTTTTTGTTTTATTTTATTTTTTTATATTTTTTTTACTTAACGTGCAACTTTAAACCTAGCTTTAAATAACTAAACTTTAATAACCATTAACAACTTTAATCTTAACGTGCTTTTTAATTTTATTATTCACAACCAGAAGATATAATAATATATAATTTTAATAAGCGGCGTTGATGACCAACAGGTTTTACGCCTTTACTATACAACTAACAAACTAATTTGATTTGTTGAAGCTAGAGTCCTAAAGCGAATAAAATGATAATTTAATATTTAAAATTGAATATAATTTGTAGGATACTTTTTTGGGTAGGGATTTTTATTCAAGTAAAGAAGAAACTATCCCAATGAACTAGCTGAGAAAACAATCAGTGCAAGGCATTTAAGATTAATATTTTAATTTCATTACGAAAAGATTGGATATAGATAGTTTTGCAAACGAATAGTTGATGGATATAGTAAATTTTGCTGAGAGCCATGTTTTTTCTCTTTTGGTATGTTTATTCTTTGAAGTATAAAGTTAGTACTATACTGTTCCCTCATTATGGAATGATAGATATCAATTTCATGATTAAGAATGAATAAGTGAGTTCTGCAGATCATGTGTCATATTATCAAGTAGAAAGGAAAAAAATATATGTACAATATATACTATCACAACCACTGAAAGATCTTGTGATTGGAACAAGACATGGAAAAATTTATTCTACCATAGAATCATTTAAAGATTATAGGATTAGGTATTGTAATACCTACTGGTACTAGTATTGAGAATGGTGTGAGAAATGAGCATGATAACAAATGGAAATTAATTGTTCCTCCATATTTATCTTTCTGGTTTTCTAGATGAAATCTAAAAGGCATAACCATAGGAAGGGAAATATTTGTTTCTGGATTCTATCAGAGGCCAAATATTAACAAAAATTATAAGTTTCTTTTAAACCTACAATGAACTGTAAGTAGTAATCAGAGTTCATTTACATTTATATTTATCTTATTAAGTATATACTAAATTTTTTACTATAATAGAACGATCGATAGTTTAGGCAAAATTTAATTTTCAGTCATGAAATTCTAACAAAGTCAAATAAGAAACATGACAAATCTCTTGAATTTCATTTAGAAGGTCTAACCTGTACCCCCGAGATCCTGTCGGTGAAAGCGGGAATTCGTCGTTTCCATTCTGGCCGAACCACGCCGAACTGCTTGGTGGAGAGTAGTTCTGCGGTTGGTAGTTGTAGTATGGATATTCAGGGTAATTCGGTGGAGGTGAATAATGGGCGACGCCTGTAGAATCAGGGCTCACAGGTACGTTTCCTGCATCAGAAATTTTGTCATTAACTAATGTTTTAAATTTAAAATAATTAAAAGAAAATATTTTTTTTACATATTTGTTAATTATTTACCATATCTCGCTGATTTTTTGTAGCTATAAGCCATCTCAGTTGGACTGCTCGGAGGTGAATCCTTCTCTTCTTTATTCCTTAATAGTATATTTTCTAAAATGGACGGTTGCGGTGCTGGTTCTTTGTTCTCATCTTTGACATCTTCTCTCATGACTGGGGTCACTGGGTATGCTTTCGACATTTTAATCTTTACTTTCCTGTACTCATTCCTGTCTCTGTATTCTTCCCCGCCTCCACTGACGGGGAGTGCGACACCAGGTCCTACAACAACGGAGGTCTGCGTCGCAGGTACTGGTCCGGCTACAACAGTACTCACTTCTTCCACCGTTGTAATCTCCATTCCTTCTTCAACAGATTTCTTACTGCTGTAAATGATCATAATATGTATGAGTTTAAATTTCAAACATCTATGAAGAAATAATCAATAAATAATAAGAAAATAATATTCGATCTACTTTATAACTTGAGATATACCTGAAATCAAGAACATAATTGTTATCAGGATCATCGCTGTCTGACGAATGGCCAGGAGGTGTTAACACCTCATCATGATAGCCATGACTGTGATAACCTTCATCAGATCTAACAGACCCTGCTGCTTCTTTTTCTCCTCCTTAGAAAACAAAATTTAAATTATTAGTAATTTTTTATCAAACTAACGAAGTTTAAAAAAAGTAAGAATAAGAATATAATAAATGATGAGATCAAAAATATCATTTGAAAAAACAACAAAATAATGACTAGCGATAATGGAAAAAGCAAAATTATACCTAATGAAACAGTCATAAAATGGGTAATACTGTATGCGGTTTACAAACATGGAATCATTACTGAGAACAAAAAGAAATATTCTGAGAATAATATATGGGCCGAGAAGGGAGGAGGAAGAATACCGATTAAAAAAGAACAGTAAGCTTTATGAACTTAGAATCATTGATGAAGAAAAGGAGATTAATGTTCTTCGGGCATATGAAGATAATGGATTGGAATAGGTTAAACAAACTAATATTCAATAAAGTAATGGGACTGAAAAACATAAAAGGTTATCTGGAACAAATAAAAGAAGTAGGAAAAATAGGTATCAAATAAGAAGACTACCAAGATAGGAACAAAGTCATGAAAAATATAAAGGTTCTTGTAGCGGAGAAGAAAAAGCAAGAAAGTAAGAAATTGGCAAAGGAAAGAAAGAGAGAGATGAGAGAAAAAATGAGAAGAATGTGGGCAAAAAAGAAAAAAAAAACTATAAATAAATAAAGCCTATATCACAATAAATAAATAAATGATAAAGCTAAAACCAATTGATAATAATTACCTTCTTCTTTGACTTCAGAAAGTTCTGGAGATGAAGACCTGCCTCTCTGATAATTATTATTCATTATATCGCTGTAAGCTGGTTTTTCAGTCGAGCTCACCACTTCAGGTACACTTGTTGTCTCGGGTTTTACAGGAGCTCCACTCTGCTGGACTTGCTGGCCTATAAAAATAAAATAATTTTTTTTTTAAATTTAAATTCATTTTATTTCATTCCGATTAATTACATCATTATTGGTGATTAACTTACGTATTCTCTGTAGCATTAATTCTCCCGTAAGAGGATAATTTAACCTCTCCGCGAATTCTCGGCAGTACCAAACAAGAAGTTCTTGATTAGGCAAGATAGGCCTGATTGTATAAAAGTAAATAGACATCTGAAAAAAAAGTTAGATTTAAAAAATCAATTTTTCCTTTTATTTTTAAAAATCACAATACAAAAAAATAAAAATTAAAATTTTACACAGGATTGACTAATTTCAGAATTATTGACATTGAAAATTCACTAATTTACAAAAGAGGAATTTGTTTTTATTAACCTAATCTTGACCTGTGAACTTATGAGGATTTACAGAATAACAAATAGTAAATATCTTATAAAAAAGTCAATATCTTAACCACAAAAAAGGGATTATGTATCTAAAGTTTTTCCATATCCTTTATATAACTTTAATTTTTTTTTTTTTTTAATTTATGAAACTCTAAGCTCAGTAAACAGGAAAAAACTGACTGCAAATACTATAAAAAAACCAAACAATTGCTTATAAAATTGAATTAAATCATATATCTTAATGAAATTAGTGCATGGAGTTATAATAAACTTGATTTAACTTTGTCATAAATCATTATGCATACGACGAGTTTAATTTTTTGTATTAACTGTTAATTTGTGTTGTTAAATAAACATCTCGCTCCATACAAGAACTTATAAACAGCATTCTACCATATTTTAAATATTGTTATAAGATTGATAAAACATATTAGATTTGGAGATATACATACCTTATACTGGCAAGCAATTAGATTCTGAGATTCAGAAGAATAGGCTGGGTTGACATAACGCATCCAATTCGACTTACAAATATCGTAACCATCAATGTAATAGAAAAGTTGGTTTTCCTTGTAAACCTGTAAAGACATATAAATTTATTATATCACTAAATAACTGTGAAATTTACTATAAAGAAATTTTTGAATAAAAATATTATATATCTTATTTGTTGATCCAAATCTATCAGATCATAAATATATATATAAATTATATAAGTTAAGGTTGAAAAGCAAATTTTTTTTTCAACCATCTTGACAGTGATTTCTTAATAGTTATTAAATGGTTGGCGTGGATATAGAGGGATTTTTGTACATATCGCAATATAATGTGCTAGATAACTATTATCAGACTGTCATTAGTATTTTTAAAAATTTCCACCTATTTTACATGTTAACGATTTCTGTCAGTTTTACTAACATGGCAAGTTGGGTACTTATAAGGATAAAAAAAATCGCATAAAATGTGAGCTACAATAGAATTCAAATTATTGAATTTTTTTTAATAATAAAAAAAATTCATTTTTAGTTAAAAATCTGAAATATAACAGTGAATCTGGGAGTTGTGGTGGTGACTCGGAACCAGAGTGACGCCATACTACTGCCAAGCATGATGCTGTTCAACCTCTTTCAGCTCCAGGCTTATTTTAGTTATTTATGAAATATAATAAAAGAAAGTTGTTTAAACTAAATATTTTTACTCAAGAGACGACATAGCGAAAAATAAAACAAGAAAGTTATTTATAGAATGGAAATTATGAAGCAGGAAACACTATTTTAAGTTACAATATATAGGATACCCAACGGTATGAGCTAGGCATTGACAGCCCCAGACATAATCTTGTCTTGATCCTTCTGACTAGTTCTGTACCATCACTTTTCTTTAGCATTAATTTAACGCTAATTATCTCCGCAAATACGCATCAGAAAAATTTGGAGTTTTTATTGTAATAACCTAATCTTTACTGATGAATGCACATTTAAAATTCATGCTAGTACCCTATTGCAGTATTGATTTTTTTTTGTATCTAGTGAGCAGTGAAGAAGTGCTTTTTTCAATAAGTTTCTACATGCTTTGTGTCTAAAAATATATTCCTATAAGAGAAAAAAAAAATAAAAAACAGGAAAAAAGCATCTATTAACTGGAAAATTCTAATAAATTTTCGAGTGATACATGCTCTAGATTGTAGAGATAATATATTATCCAAACAGAGAAAAGAAATTTTTAAGTCGCTATAGAAACAGATAGGACAGTACAGATGAGAAGAAGAAATTCCTACCTTTGATAGCAATCCCATATCCTTCTTGATCTGTACCTGTACCGCAAAAAAGAAAATATCGAATAGTTTTCCCAAAAACATATCCCTCATAGAATTCTACGGTGATTACTTGTTATGATATAAACATCGGAGATGTTACGATGTTCAGAAAGAAGATTTTTTCGTATTAAAATTTAAAGCTGATAGTTATCCATAAAGTTTTATTTTCATTTATTTTTTAATAAATTTTCAACTATCTGGAGCAATTTTCAAGTCTGCTGAAAAATTAAATTTTTTAAAAAATTTTACGCATAAAATATTTTATCATTAATTACCTATCATAAACCATTTATTATTTTTATTGATTTAATAGATATTCATTCTTTGATAATTGTTATTTCTTCATTATTTTTCTTTCACATGGTATATTATCATTGATAACCATTAAAATACAAACTTTATAGCTATATAAATAGAGGAGGAGATCCTATTCAATTGATTTTAAATTTTTTGGAAACTAGATTTCCATCATAAGTTAATATTATTAGTTTAAAAAAAACACATCAAAATGTTTATATTGTAATTATATTGGTATTATTAATAAATTCAAAATAAATTAACTAGCCACTAATAACTTGTTAATACAATTGAAAAATACAGAAAACAAAAAAGGCAAGTATGGAATATTGCCTGGTTGCATCCACCTGGTTGCTCCTAGGAGATCCAGAATTTAATTTTGAGAGAGGACTTTTTTATATATAGTTAAAATTATTCTTCGAATTAATAAAAGAGTATTGAAGTGATAAAATAAATACATTATATTACAAATTTTGTTACAATATTATAAGTTACAAGTACGAAAACATTCAATCTTTAACTAAGGAAACTGCTCCTAGATTTTAAAATTTAAATTTTATTATTTTGACTATGAGAAAAAAAATTAAATTGTAATTATAAAATAAAGCTTTATGACTATTGACTTATAATTTTATGACAAAATATTCTGGCTCCGAAAGTAGAAAATATAACTAGATTTTTTTGGGAAAAACTTATTTTCTTTTTTTTTAGATTTTATTTAATAAAAATCCAATTCAAGTCAGGAATTATTTAATCTATGAAATAAAATTTGAGCCGAGTCCAAAAATAAAATTTATTCAAAAAACATATCAACTCACCCTCCAGAAGTATTTGCGATTAGCAGTGGACGGAACTTCATTTTTAGCATATACTTCTCCAACTAAGGGTCCGAACCTTGTACCTCTTGGTATGTAACTCGTACTCCAAACTCCCATTACCTGTAATAATATATAAATGAATAAATAAATAAATTGTGAGGATTAATGAAAGATGCTATAGATTTATAATATAGAACATACATCCGATAAGGCTTGGCTAGGCCTAAGGACCAAGTTCCGAGGCAGTGATGCTTCGGCACGATTAGGTGCCCCTGGGGGAGGTGCTTGATCCAAGACCAAGTAGACAGCATGCTTCTCGAACTCTTCTTCCCTCGTTGTTGCCGGATCCCATTCTTCTTCCTCAATCACCTCCTCCTGCAAAAAAAATGAGTAATTTAAAAAAAAATGTAATATATAGAATGAATAGACTTAAATTTTCTTAATATATTTATTAAAGTTGAAGTTTTCCAAAAATAAATAAACATAATTTAATTTTGTATTATTAATATATACAAACAAGTACCTAAGTGTCAGTAACAAATAAATAAATCAGCTGTGCATTCATAACGTCAAGCCATGACCTTCAGAGTATTCTATACCTCGTGTAAGCTCAAATGGGCATTTGTAGTATCTGTTTTATTTATATGGCTTTAAAAGCCCACCACCTACTAATGTCTGTAATGTTCTTCTAAAGATTCCCATAATAAATAAAGAATTTAATATTATTTATTTAAGAGCACAGTTTTTATCTGTTTCTGAATGGTTTAACTTTTCAGTAGTTTCCACAGTGTACAATTTCAGAGCATAGTTGAATATCACTGTAGTCCTCTCAGTTATTTATATATCTTTTAATTCAGCTGTTAGAGCTTACATATGATTTTATTTTTCCTTCATAATACCATCAATCAATGGATTCAGATCTGTTGTAGATGGTTTGGTCTATTATAAATCTCCTTCCTTTGGATTTTTATCTAAATTTCATCTCTTCTCTTTAGGATTAGAGAGAATTAAAAGCATATATATATAATAAGGCTTCGAGTCAATCTTTTTCTTTTAATGAAACATTGCCATTGATGAAATCGTTTTCCGCATTGTTATATATCCATTTATAAAGATAAAAATATTATCAAATAGTTTGATAATATATGACAAACCAAATACTTCTCTTACAGATACAAGCTATAAATGAAATAAATCTCATAGTAAATTTGTAGTGAGTCATTGCTAACAAGATTTTTAGAATCCATGTATTTTGATAAGTTGTTTCGAGAGAAATTAACATTTTTGTGAAGATTAAAAAAAAAATTAATTAAATATTTTCTTGTACCTAGTAATTTGTCAGATTTATGAAGTAGAATTTAAATATTTAATATTTTGGAGGCTGTGGAAATATTAAAATTCAATGGAGTGCTTTAAAAGGTTAATCCATAGCCTTCATGATTTAAATAAACAAAAAAAAAATGTAATGAATCATTAATTCATAAAAGTAATGATTAGGTATAATTGTTATAGTTTTTTTAAGGAGGAAGAAGAGATGTTTATTGTAATGAGTAGTACAAAAATTATTTCTTGGAAATATTAAAAGTATTATATTTACAATTTATTATTATATTATAACTCATTATATCGTAATTAGAAGAGCTGTAGGGGGGGGGGGAGTGTTAATGAGGGGTCGATAGACAGACAGCACCTACTACCCGAATACTACAAGTTCGCCGAAAGCCGAGCGAAAACGGAAAGGGTAGTAGCGTCTAGAAATCGATATGGCACTACTGACCCACTTTCCGGGGCAGAGGCCCCTGGCGGAGTCTAGAGCAACTAACCACGCCTTCAGCGGCAGTCGCTTTTTCTAAGTAAATGCACTTGTTCCAATTTCCGGCCTTTCTCAGTGTCTCTCCATGCACCGTTAAGCCGAAGAAAAAATGGCGGAAGAATAAAATTACGAGCAAGAAGTCAAGAGCAAAAAACATACATTAATTTATATTAAAAAACCCTTGATAATACCAGGTGTCAGGAATTACAATAAAACTTTATAATATTTATAAATAATTCTCGATGTATTTTTATTCTTAATTGAACCTTTGCTTACATTTAAGTAAGGAAAGGCTCAATGAATATTTTGTATATACATTTATTAGTTAGCTGTATATTTTAATTAGTTTAAATAAAATTTTCTGAGGGGTCAGAAAAAAAAAAATATTTTCAACTCAACTCTCTGGTAAATACATCGTTTCAACGTTTTATCTCATCCAATGGATTTGATAGGAATTTACGACATACCTTTAAATTGAAAAAAATTAAAAATAATTAAAAAAAAACGGAAAATTATAATTATTTTGCCAGTTATATAAATATTTGTTACTCCTTGATAGATCATATTAAGGTTCTTGCACTGAAGTTTCATTGGCGAGGTGGTATGTTTCGTACACCCCCTCCCCTCCCTTCCCGAAAAAAATAAAAAAATAAAAGAATTATTTTTTGTCTTTGATTGATGAGGAATAAATATTTTTTAAAAATCACAATGGGTGCTCTTTTAAAACTATAATGCATGTAAAGTTATTAAATGAAGGCATACGTAAAGAAAAAAAATTATATAAAATTTACTCCAAAAAGCATTATTGTTCGTATAACTACCTTTTTTTTAAAAGAGACTTTCAAGAACCATTTAAACATAATTTTATATAGTTTCTTCCTGAGTAAAACCGTTATAAAAAAATAAATAAATAAATAAAAATAAACCTTCCCTTCCCCAAATTAAATCCTGGATATCTTAGTTTAAAATATGAAATGAAATGAAAATTAAATTAAAAATTAAGGAGATCATTTTTTTTTTTCACTTTATATATATTTTTTTACTGTTTTTTTTTTTTTTTTGCTTTTTTTTTGTCCTTTTGTTTTGTTATTACTAGTCTTTTTTTTTATGCTATCATTTCTTCTCCTTGATGTCATATTTGCTGAATACCGAGGTAGATGGCAAATTTATTGTGAGCCACGAATATGTATAACTAATAAATAAATAAATAAAATATATTTTTGTTGGGGCTCATAAAAAAAAGTAAATAAATAAAAATATCGAATTAAAAATTATATCGCAACAATTTTCACTGGAAGTTTTTGTAGTTGGGTCTTTTTAGTGATACCGTATATTTGTGATGAGTATGCCTTCCAATCAAAATTATTGCGACTGATAACAAAAGCACCTCGGTACGTTACTAACAAAGCTCTACATACCGATCTCCACCTTCCAACAGTTGACTAACATATAACTATCGTTTATCAACGATTTTACACAAATTTAAACGGACATAATAACAGACATGGCCAAAGCTGATAAACCACAGAACATGAGGAGGAGACTAAAAAGGCGTTGGATGAGGGATCTCCTACCTTAGACAACCTAAGTAATTGAAAAAAGTTAGGGAAGAGGTACTGCTGAGTACTTTCCTTGCCCATGCCTGTCATATCATTTTCTGTATCGCCAGCATATTTGCTGATTTTCAACAATAAGTTGAGAGGAATACATTTTTATAAACAAAAAAATAAATATGTTTTTTTTTTAAAATAATTGAGAAACATTTAATTAAATTAAATATTTGTGTTTATCAAGAAACCTTCGAGTTCGATAATTATAAGTTTGACTGTATTCATTCATTATTATTATTTATATAAAGATAAATATATTTCTTTCTGGAATGTTGTAGTATTTACTGCATCAGATTACTCCGATATATCCAGAAATAGATCCGGTGCATCCTTTATAGGAATATTCCAAATCTCATAGATATTTGAGTCAACTTAATTGGCCCAACTCAAATGTAAACAAACATCTCTATTATTAGAATGTTCTACTCCCAAGCCAAGAGATATCTTGTAACATCTAGTCATTAGAATATGAAATAATTTGAAACAAGAGCTTTCCTTAGCTACCTTTAGTACATGGGATACACCAAATTGTAGTACCGGAAAATATATTAATAACGAAGGATGTAAACCTACGCATAAGGAAATTCTGAAATATTGAAGCAAGGAAAGCAACTTTAACTAACATAAATTATTACTAAAGTAATTTTTCCTACTTTATATACATATACATATATATATATATATATATATATAGATTTATCTTTCCAGATTTTGGTATATTAACAGATAATAAATGCTTTCAAAATGGAGATTAAAATTTGATCTTCTTAATAGGTTTGTTCATCAGAAAACTCATTTCAAATGAATTAAGAGGGCTTTAAACTGTTTTCGAATTAGTGTGTTTCGACTAATGGGACAATTTAATTAGCAGGATCATCAGCAATAGAATTATAAAAATAACACAAAATGAATTCGTTTCCACAAAATTAATAAAATAGTCATATTTTTTTTCAATTAGAATTATTTATTCTTTGGAAATTAAAATTGCCATCTATAATCTCGTCAAAATGTTTTTGTGTTAAATCGAATGTTTAGCATTATGAGCATTAGGAAGGATAGTACCCAACAGGACCTCTTTCTGGTCATTCTATACTTCCTTGATTCAAGAAAGATATTTCATCCAGTTCTTTTTCCTTCGCTTCCTGGTGATCATGTCAGTCTTCTATAAGTCTGTTTTTGTTATTTCCGTGTATTTTAATGTGAAATCGGAAGGAAAGAGTACGTTTGTGACGGTCGATAGTTGGATTGAATTAATTGTAATTTATGTAAATACGTCTTCTTTTTCTGAACCGCAAATTTCAGATCGTATGTGGGTTTGAGTAGTTAAGTTTATATATTTAGTTATTGTTTAATTTTCAGTTGTTTTTTTTGGAAAAAAATTGTGTCAATTTAAGAATATATGATTCATGGACGCGAATTATGAAATATAATTTGACGTATGGAAGTTTCTAAGAATGATTTTAATATATTAAATATATTTTTAAAAATTAATATCCCAATTATAAATTAATTTATTATCAGAATAATTCGTGCAACTAATCGCATTTTAACCTTGACCTTTTTAGATTTAATAGTTCTGAGACATCTTTCCCACAGTCACGACATCCAATGCAGTTCTTTTACTTTAATAAGTTCTTGCAGTTCTTTATAAAAAGAACTGCATTATATTTTTTAGAAATTTAGAATATTCATTTCTCTCTATAAATATTCAAAAACAATGGTTATTAAGAGAGCTAGAAAGAAGTGTCAAAATATTTCAAAATATAAAACTCGAAAGTAGATTTTTCCATATATAATATATATATATAAATATATATATATATATATATAATATACGAAAAAACGTCATTAAATTCACAAAAATGAAAAATAGATATTAAATTATATAATTTAATCATCTTAATTTAAATTCTATAGTCAATACCAATTTTTCCATTTAAATAAAAATTACG